TTATAGAATCATATGCAAAGTTTAAAGGTTTTTCTTTCTGACGTAGTAGGACTGATCTTCACTTTGACAATTCAGGAATTCGTCGTCATAGTTATGAATGTTCATATTCATGTACACACAAAGCAAAAAAAGTAATTGATATTACCAAATAGCGTAAACGCCCTTCTGCTGCTATTAATTGTCAATAGCATATAAATTTTAATAATCGTAAGGGATCTGTTCAGATAGTTTGTACTTCACTTTGTGATGATCATAAACACGAAATGAACCTATAGTTGTCCAAACTGCACTACATTTTCGTAAGCTCTCAAATGAAATGCTAAAGGATATCGAATTTTACACAAAATCTGCAGAAGGTATGGATGCCAAGATACAGTATAATCTTCTAAAAGTAAAATATTCGGCCAGCTATATTGATAAGAAAGATTTATCCAATGCTATTCAAAAGTTCAAAATTCTATCATGTGAAAAAACAAAAACAGATACCACAAAAACTTTGCAACAATTAATAGCTTTAAAAGCAGTAGACCCCGGATAGGTAGTTGTATCTAATATAGGTGAAGAGAATAGGTTAATAGCTCTGTTCTGGATGTCTCCTTTACAAGTTTCATTATAGACCAAATTTTATGACATTGTGATATCAGATAATACCTGTAAAACAAATTGTTATGAAATGCTGTTGTGTTTTTTTCTAGTTATAGATAATAATACTCGTTCATGTATTATAGCGCAGGCATTATTAGAAGATAAAACTCAAGTGTCTTTTGAATGGTATATGTTTTCTTTTTTTTGTCTTTTTTTCTCTCTCTTTTTTTAATATATATCACTAGCTAGTCGTTCTAATGTTTTTTTATTCTTGTTTTAATAATAATAAATGTTTTAGGGTTTTAGAACAGTTAAATCAAGCAACAGATCAAATCATTCCCAAAACTGTTTATACAGATGCTAACCTAGTTATAGGTACAGCCTTGCGAAGCATATGGTCTAACATATATCATTCTTATTGTATTTTTCATTTAAACAATAATTTTGTTAAGAAAATGAACCCCATTATGTACAAAAACTTTGATGTGTGTTATAAACTTTTTTATCATTGTCGTAATAGTTTGTTTGAAATAGATTTCGAGTATCGTTGGATACGGTTTGTTGAATTTCTTGCATCATTCCCTAAGGTATCCTGGTATACACTTGAAACACTTTATTCGTTACGATATAGCTGGGCTTTTTGTTATACACAAACTTGGTTTACTGCTGGCATCCAAAGTAATCAATGAGTAGAAAGTATGAACACAATTATCAAGAAGGAGGTTTCATATTGTTCAACATTATTACATCTAATTAATGCTATACAAAATCGTCTAGATGAAGAAGCATGATATATAAGAATAAATAAACAGAAAAATATGAATCCTTTTGTCAGCTTGCCTCATATTGCAAGCTAATATTTCCCTGTCATTGATTCATTAATTCAAGAATATTTAACTTCTCATATTCTTTTTACTCAATAGCAGCAGCTTTCTGAAAGTTTTTTGTATAACGGTACTGAAATATTTTATGAATAGGATAAGTTTCCTTCCAAACCAGAAAATATTGTTAAAAATAGATATCTAGAGGATGATTACAAATGGTATCAAACTGGTTTTAAAGTACTATTACAACAATTACAACATAAGGATATTGTTCAAATTTGGACCATAGCATCCCAGGAATTATTTCTGGGCCATTTTAACCATCATGTCATAATACTTACAGATGGTATATATTTATACACCTGCCTTACTTTAATCAGTAAAAGAATCATCTGCTATCACTTCATAAAAGTTTTAATAAAATCATATCTTGCTAGATTTCATATTTCCTTAATATCAACCTATTGGTATAAGGATAACAAGATGAATGAAAATAAGGATCTTGTTACTTCACTTCTGCCTATTAAATTGTGTGAATCTAATGGGCCCTCAGCATCTAATAATATCTCTTATACAATTGACTTTCGGCATTTATCTCATTTTTGTGTTTCTAATATATTTACGCCTATCCTACAAAAATCTGTTAGTGAGAAAACATGTTGGTCTAAGGGATATGAAATAACAAAGAAAGCACTAAATCTGATGATATAGCTTAATTGTGATGACGAGTTCTTTAATATTATGGAGGAATTTATTTCAACTAAAATACATGAATTACAACTTTTAGAAGAAAATAAAGTTGATAATAAAGTTGAATCTCAACCAGCCATTGTTAATCTATTTATGACAAAATACTGTGGGCGGCCGTCTAAACGATTCAAGAGTACATTAGAGCAGACTGCAAATTCTTAAAAAAATATTCATAATCCCAATAGTACAAATGCAAATAATAGTTAAATGAATCAAAACAAATATGCTAACTGTGGAAATTACAGGCATAATGTTCGAACTTGTAATCTTGCAAGCTAAAATGCAATCTATGCTATGGATGGTTTGTTTTTTTATGCATAATAACCTTACTATATTACTTTCAATACTAATTTTTTAATACTATTGCTGTAATTTATTATTTCTGCTACCCGTAAATTCTCGAAATAACACCTGGGGTAAAATTATGAAAATTGGCCTAAATTAAGATTAATTCAGGCCAAACCCCAAAATAACGTCTATGTTCATTATTTTGAGAATTTACAGTAATAAAATTTATATTTTGAAAATATCAATTAATATATATAAACTTTGCAAAATTTATGATTTTGGTCTCGAAATAATAAGCTACTTTTTTGCTATTATTAAACGTCAAATATATCAATTTTTTACAAATTTGATCTGGTCTTTAATTATATATTATATAGAGTTCTACTCTATAAACCATTTATCTGATTATATATTGGATATCTAATGTTGGATAAAATAGATTAATAAATAAACACACAAATTATCCAATGAATTATTCGGATTAATTTGAAAATTAAAAGTTCTAAAGTAATTAATATAAATTCATTTGCTAATTACAAGATTTAAGATAATCAATAAAATAAATTAGGGAAATTCTATTTACATGTGGGTGAAAGTCAGAGCCAGTAGATTTTAGTAGCATCTAAAATAGTGCTATTTTTAGCAAAATAGCTACGTAGCAATATTGTTTGTGCTAAGATGCTAACTTTGCTACTTTTGTACTAAACATGTGACTACTACTTTTGTTCTTAAACTGATTTGTATAAGTAAATAATTAGATGCAAGTTCTTAACAGATAATTAGAAAATTTACTGAAATGCTATATTAAGAACTTATTGAAGAAAAACATACGACTATATTAAAATTTAGATTTGATAAACATAAATTTTTTAATAAGCTATTTTGCTAATTTTGCAAAATTTACTAGCTAATTTTGCTAGTTAGTTTTGCTTCTAATAATCACTAGCTCTGGTGAAAGTAGAATTTTTCTAATTTATATTGTTGATTATCTTAGAAGTTGTAATAACTAATACATCGAATAATTCGGTTAAATCATTTGGTCATCCGATTTAAAAAGATTAATATACGAATATTGCATGTTGGATAAATGAATAACGGATTGGAACCAAGGTATAAAATACTAACTCATTTACTAGCCAGAGCTTAAAATCCTATAGTAATTTGCTGGCCATTCAAAAGAATCATTCTTGATATATATTATATTAGGAATTAATCAGCTAATATAGTAAACAATATGATATACAATACACTAATTTTGATGAATTAAGAAAAATACTTCAAACAATAGGCTACAGGCTGGCAAATTACTATAGGATTTTAAGCCCTGTTACCGGCTATTAGCTCATTGTTTCAAGTGTCTTTTTGAATAATTAAAATAATTTGAATTAAGAATGATATTTTTGAATAATTGGTCAATAAGTTGGTATTTTACGCCTTGATTAGAACTAGTATTGTAAACCGATTAAGAGCTAGTTGACTTAGTTGATAAACTAAAAATTTATTGGTCAAAGTTCGGCTATTGTCTTTTTAAGATTTTTATTTGACAATTTGCTTATTGTTTACACAGAAAAGATAAGAAATACACACGAGTTTATTATTAGCAAAACAATAATAATTTATGCTTTAACTAGTTGAGTAACAATACTCTGAATTTGTTTCTTAATAACTTAGTCAACTAAGTTCAATCATAATTTTAAGCTTTGACCACAATCATATCTATAACTTGAGCTATACTAAACTGCGACTAAGAGATCTCACAGAATAACTAAATGAAAAATCATTGTTCTACCAATATGTATACTAAATTATTTTGCGGTATTGGATTACTATTAACAGATTACTAAATATACACATTAACAATTTTTATATTAATCTACTATATTTATATAAGTAAAATATACCTAAATAGAAGGGTGTGGCGACTTAGTGAAG